AAATCGCTAAAAATCAATAGGCTTCTTCGTCTCATGACATTTAACACTGTGTATAAATTAAAAGTCAATCGGATATTAACTTTAGCCTCTAGAGCGTCCACAATTGCTTGTGAACGCCGGACCGACGGACGGACGGGGGTGACGACAATATACAACCACATTTCAATGTGGTCGTATAAAAACGATATTGACCTGGCACTGGATAGGAATCTAGCCGTACACCTAGTACTTTTGGACCTCAGTGCTGCTTTTGATAATAAGATCATAGTATTTTATTTCAAAGGCTGGAATGTTCGGTCGAGATTTGTGGTGCCGCACTGTCATGGATAAAGGCATATTTTCAAGATAGAACACAGAAGGTGCAAATAAACAGGTCTGTGTCTCAACCCTGTGCTGTAAGGATAGGTGTTCCACAAGGATCTGTATTGGGACCTCTACTTTTTCTTCTATACATTTTTCCGATTGGTCAAATCATAAGAAGACATGAAGTACAAAACCACGGCTTTGCTGATGACACCCAAATATATGACTATTTTCAATACAACAACTATCTTGCTTCCAAGGATTCTATCAGTAGACTAGAGTCTTGTCTTAATGACATTCGAGAATGGATGACCAGAAATAGGCTAAAACTTAAGAATGAGTTCGCGAGAGAATCATGCAAAAAACGGCATAAGCGGTGTCGGGCGATTTTGACCAAATTTTTGCAGATTTGGTCATTGGGTACCCCGTATACCCAACGTGAAATATGAGGGTCACCAACCTTGTAGTTACAGAGAACCAGCTATGGCCATTTTAGTGTTAAAAACCGGTCATTTTTTATAAAAAAATTCCTTAAATTCAAATATTTCCCATAAATTGTCTATTGATTTTTTATTTTTTTAAATTATTTTTTTATGAATGATCATGTCTACTACTTCAATATATATGACTATTAAATTTTTCCGACAACCATTTCAGGCCATGAGGAATTTATTTTGAGACGTAGTTTTTGCTATATGCTAAAACATATAAATTTTATGATGCTATATCTCACCCACTGCGGGGCTGAGTACAATTATATTTATAATGGAAGTTGATGACTACTAATACTAATATTTGATTTTGACAAAATGACTGGCACGGATTTCTTTCATATTAAATTTGACATCATTTTTCCAATTAAGTCATCCATTGCCTGGATTATTAGGCCTGATAATGCCCCATGCAACCGCCTACCAGCAACCCTGTGTAGGGCCGGTACAGATGATTCGGGAGTTCCACAAGGATCAGTCCTTGGGCCTATCCTTTATGTAATGTATACTAAGAAATTGGGACAACTAATCGATGAGCGTGGTTTCCAGGACGACATTCTTATGCAGATGATACACAGCTGATTGCAAGTTATTCCCTTTCAAAAACTGTTTCATTCCCTAATTATTCTGACATCAAATTGTGTACACATGACATTAAAGATAGAATGACAAGAAATATGTTGAAATTAAATTTAATTGAATTAAGTAAATCAGAATGTATTTTATGTGGTCAAAATACACATCTGAAAAATACAAGTTCAAATGATGTGGTTGTACGAGATGTAATATTTGTACCATGAGACACTGTGAAGAGGTTAGGTGTCCTCTTGGGGTCCAATTTGAGCATGGACAGTTACATTAGTGAAAATTGGCCATATAAACACTTTATTAGCCAGGAAGCAGCGGATACACTTATATGTTCTTTGGTATTCTCAAGGATTGACTACTGTAACAGCTTGTTAGTAGGAACATCTAGTGCCAATATTAAAAAACATCAACTTGTAGAAAATACTGCAGCTCGAATTCTTACCAGATCACCAAAACACTCTCATATTACCCCTGTTCTGAAAGCAATCTATTGGCTGCCAATCATCTTCAAAAGTATATCTTTGACGTATCAGTGTGTGAATGGCTTAGCTCAAATATACTTATCTAACTTTATGCACATACAAATTCCCTCGAGTAACCTCCGGCCGAACACACATTCATCAGGTGGAAGTTAATATCATTTGGATACGGATCGTGCTCAGTGAATGCGCCTAAACTGCGTAACAATCTTCCAGAGGTCATTAAATCATCTCAAACCCTTTCTTGTTTTACATCAAGACTTATCAAGATTAATTAAATTAATTTAATTGTATGCGCAGTGGACATTCTTCTGTACATTGAGTATGTGCGCTATATAAATGTACATATTAATAATATTATTATTATTTGTCAGGCCGAAGTTAGATTTGCACTTTCGTTTAATCTGGTGTCTTCCCTAAAACTTTGGACAGTGATTTAAGGTATTAAAAACGGTGAAAGTATTGTTCGTCTCCAAACAATATTGTTTACATTGTAGCTATGTTGATAGCCTCGTTTTCTGCAATATTCTGCTATGCACTGGTTAATTGGGCGTAATGAATTTCGTGAATCATGACGTAACGTTATGTTAACATATTTGAAACTCTGTTTAAACCAGAATTATATTGTTACACAGTTAGGTATTGGTTGTTAATCGGACTATTGACAAATTATAATTTGGAACAGAAATTTGCTTTCATTATGGCAGTGTTGAGTGGGATTAGGTCTAATCAAACGAAACACTGCCTGGAGTATGCTAAAATAGTGACCTTCCGCTCATATACAATTTGTTTTTTGTCTTTTTGAAATATCGCTTGATTCGTTTATAAAGTATAGACAGATATATATATATGACTACTACACTATTTAGTTTTTACGATTTGCTGTTAAAAAATTCATCATCCTTCTACTAGATCATGAGGTTATATTGGCGAATTAATAAAATGTTGATTAGGTACTTATTGGATAGATAGATAAACTTGAATTTTTTCATGAAAGTATATAATCTGCATTTATATTTATTTGTTTATTTCTATTTTTATTATGGCTTGCTCTTAACGGAACTGGAAACCACGTTAATTTGGTTTCAAGTGCCATGTTACGCTGTTGAGTGTGTAAATAAAGCGGTTTATTTTTCGTCATTTTTGTTAAAAATCGTTATTTTTGTACAAAAATGGAAATTATTTACTACTAAACGGGACGAGTGCCACCCAATTTTTTTCTTGATCTTAATACTATATTTAGATCATTGTCTTTTCAGTCAGCTTTCCAAAAAAATACTTAAACCCGCAGTGGGTGAGATATAGATAGAATAAAATCACATACCTAAATTGAGCTATTTTGTTACCTTGCAGCAAAAAGTCCCTATACCAAAAACCGCTCCATGACAATCCATCAAACTTTCAGAATGTATACTCACTAACCATATCTGCTTCGCTAGAAAGTTTCATTAATCTACTCGCCGTAGTTTACTTGTACGAAATAATTGAAAAGTGGCCTGAAAATGATGATTTTTTGGCTTTTTTCGGTCTTAAAATATCAATTTTTTTCCTACGCTCTAAAAATGGCTCGATTGATCTAAAATTGTGGCAGTCGGGTTAGGAGGGGTTACCCATCATACATAAAAAAAATGGTGAAAATCGGTCACCCACCATGTCCCTGCATGGTTCTCTCCGAACGCATTCTTAACAATGACAAATCCAAATTTCTTGTCATATCATCAAAATCACAATCAGTAAATTGTTTAAAGCGGATTACATTCAGATCGGTGATTGTTCTATATCTCCCAAGAAGCAGGCTAAAAATCTGGGCTATGTTACTGATGAATTTATGTCCCCAGTTCCACAAATCAATACAACTTTACGGCTAATTATGTTTCAATTGTCACATTTTTGTAATAATTACACCGATTTCCACAGCAACTGCAAAATACATAAGTTTTCTCAAACATTCCATTTTGTCAGAGCAATTTTGGTCAATTTTTTCATCAAAAATGGTCTTGTGCATGTTATATCTGAAATATTGAACCTGGTTGTTATGTATTTTAAATTCAGTAGCTATCAATAGGTGTCACAGCTCCATTGCCCGATTTGGAAGAAAGTCATTTTTTCCCCGATTTGTAACCCTTTTTCAACTTAACGTCATACGGTGCCTATTTAATATTTTGTAATAATTTTTAAATATTTTGGAAGCCGATATCCTGTTCTTTTGTTTGATATAATTTTTATATATGTGTTTATTTTATTAATTTCATAAACATAAATTGAAAAACGTTAATTTCCCATGTTTTGACGTTCCGCTGAAAAATTTTGTCACGTTTTTAAATAAGGGTACCCCACTTCAAGTGCTCGGCGGGCGCACTTATTATTAATATTATTTTTTCATTCTAATATCATTAGAAAGATAAATGAATGATCTTTCAATCGGTCGGGGGTGTTTTGTTGGCATTTTGAAATACCATGCATTTTTTGCAAGTTGAACGCTTCAATTCACACAATCTTTTTTTTTAGGCGATTTGTCAATATAGCAGCCCCGACCGATTGGAAGTTCGTTTTATTGTCGTTTTGATGCTATTAAAATCAACAAAATCGTAGCATGGTAAGTGCGCCCACCAAGCAATTGAAAATGGTATACAATGGGCAATTTTGTCAAAAATAAATCGCGTAGTTTTGCCTTGTTATGACGTCATTTCAACACCAAAACTAAAATGTATTCAAGTTCCTATACTGACAGGCTTCAGTACGATCTGTATATAAATAATCCAAATTGTCTCTTGTAATCACCTTACCCCTCACGCCTTCAAGGCAAATTTGAACAATAGCTAACGTGTGTCAATTGAAGTGAATCGGACGGTATTAATGTCATAATAGATAACAGAAGAATATTGTGGAAATATATTTATTCAAATAAATCAACATTTCTATAATAGGCCTAATACTAATGATAATGTTAGGGAAATCTATGTTTCTATCAGAAATAGTAATGTTATTTCTGCAATTTTTGAATAACAAAATGGCGGCAAAAAATTCCTGATGCATCGATGCAAGAATCGATGATTGGGTCCGATGCATTGATGCGTAAAATTTTACTTGATATCAGCACTAGACATGAGACAACTTTTATACATAATTCATAACTTACCTCATTGTCGGATTCTACCAATACTTGATCATATTCACTTAAGGCGACTAAAAACATAATGGACGTGACATTTTCAAAACAGTGAATCCATTTCCGTCTTTCAGATCTTTGGCCCCCAACATCAACCATTCTAGAAAGATTCATTCATTTAATACAGTAAACATTATTTCATCAAGCACATAAAGCATGCATGTTTTCTTTAGAAACTTATTTTTCTGGTCAATGCATAGTGAAATTGACTTTACAGTACCTCTCAAATTTTCAGACCAAAATTGCGCGAATACCGCAGAAAAAAAAAACCTCTAAGAAATTGCCAAGATTTCACGGTGAATTTTTGCTCAATTCTGCCACGAAAAAGCTCGATAACACTGTGTATCCCTAGGAAAACACTATGTATCGCCATGCCTTCCCGCAAGGAATTCACAAGCTTTTCATCACCCCCCCCCTCCACCCCAACTTTTATACTGTCACATTTATCGATTGCCCAAAACCAGTCACGCTACGAAATAGCTAAGGTTTCATCAAGTTCATCGGTAGTGTATTAATTTCATTTTGAATTTCACTTTTTTCTATTTCTTACCAAACAGGGGCAACTTAAAACAATTCCACTGAACAAACGTTTGAATATATCATAATCAGTAATAGATCTACATGAACACATAAACTTCCTGTATTGATTTGCCAAAAATTAAGGAAATCCTTATCCGTTTATATCCAAGGCGTAATGCACCACGTGTATAAAACTCGTTCACTTGCCGAATAAATACATATCAAATAAGTCCCCTAATTTATAGAATATATATTACACGCGACGTGGTAATTCTGCATGCCTCGACCTTGAAACTGTTACTGCCTTGAAAGGGGCTTATTTAATTTTAGAGTCAAAGTCAACTCAAATACCATATGATGGTTACACCTTTAGACCAGTGGCTGCCAGGCAGGATATACCCACAGTTTGCAAAAGATGGATAGAGAACAGCTAAAAACAAAGGAAGGTTGCCAGGCAACGAAACATACGCCCACAGTGGCCAAATAGTCTGAGCAGTCGACAAGGGTTGTCGCATATTTATTCCTTTGTAGGTAATTGGGGGCCTTTACAAGACAATTCCATACAGGTCAGATTATAATTTTTGCAAGGTTCTACAAATTGAAACAAGGGTCTCAACTCTGGAAGTAATCAACAGAAATTGTTGAAATTTGACAGGCTTTTTCATTTCACAAATTTAAATGATGAATATAAATTTCATACATATCGGATGATAACTTTCATCAATCGAGCATTAACAAGGTTGAACGAAGTGAAACAAGGGCAATAACTCTATAAGTAATAAACGGAAATTGTTGAAATTCAATAGGATTCTTCTCTTTACTAATTTAAATATTGCATGTAAATTTCATACAGATCGGCAGATAACTTTTGATGTCAATCTAATTAAAATATAGATCTATGTTTCATTTCGTTTTTTATACTTTCAATGGCCTACACTACATGTAGATCTAACAAGTTATAGTGGGAGTTCACGTTCTATGACGTCAGGTACCAAGCAAGCGACATTTGACCCGATTACGTCAGTCATTCGTTTAACCAATTAGCGACCGCCATGTATTTTTTATCTACTTTTGCTTCGTTTTGATTTCTATTGCCGCTAATGTCTACCCACAGTTCCGCGCAAAAAAGGTCAAACGCTCGATTCGACAGACCATTTGATTGGCTGACCCCTCATTCCAAGCAGAACACAAGTTATATAACAATGCTTCCAGATCCAAGTGTAGTAAAGACAAGTAAAATCGAAATTTTGAACTATAAAAACAAAACGAAATTGGATCTGTGTTTTAATCAGATAACTTTTGGCGTTAGAGCGTTCACAAGGTTCAATAAAGTGAAACAAGGGCCAGAACTCTAGACGTAATACACAGAAATTACTGAAATTCAATCATTAGGCTTCTTCGTTTCACTAATTTAAATAATGCATATAAATTTCAGAACGATAGGATGATAACTGTTGGGGTTAGAGCATTCACAAGGTTAAACAAGGTGAAACAAGGGCCATAACTCTAGAAGTAATAATTGGAAAAAGCTGAAATTCAATAAGCTTCTTCGTTTCCCTAATTGAACTATTGCATATAAATTTCACAAAGATCGGATGTTAACTTTTGGCATTAGTCCGTTCACAAGGTTCAACAAGAGCCATAACTAAGGCTGGGAATCGATATGAAATTTCAATATCGATTATCGGCATGAATTTGTCAGCGATTATCGATAATAATCGATTATCTTTTTTCGGAAAAATCCGAACTTTACCGACCTGTTATTTGTGTTGATCGAGTTACAGTAGTGTTATTATCCTAGTCTAATACTGTGCCGATGTACGTAAAAAAATCAATTAATGTAAAATAATTAGTTGCTAAATGTAGGACTAACTTGAGTATTATTCTAAGTTCTGTTCTTGATTCATTTGATCCTTTTTTTTATCTCCGATTAATACAAAGACAATACATGGTTTCTCTTTGCAAGTGACTGGCGATCACACAGTGTTACTACTAATAGAATAAAATAAAATAGAAGGCGTCTATTGATTGGACAATAAAAAAATAATTACGGGCTTTCAAAGTAGAATTTTTATGATTGGTTAATTTAGATGAAAACCAAAGTAGAATTCTTCCACGAAATTACGAGAGATATAGATATTTTCCCTGGAAGTCATTAATAATACAATTAGTTTTATCGTGAAAGCAGACGATTTCTCTACAAATCAACCAAGAACAAAGAAGGGAGATAATTCTAATTTTACTATATATCACGTGCGATTGTCATTGTTCACAAAGTGCGTGACCTATTTTAGTTTCAACTAGTAATAACAACAAAAACAACGAAAATATTAAAATAATGTATTTAATCTTAAAGTTTAGTTTTTTACAATAATATGTATTTAAAATGTGGCAGTTTGTAAGCAGAGGGGGGAAATAGTTGTGTTGACGTTGTGTATTCATTCATTCGTCTGCTAATGCCAGACTACGGCAAGTTCAGTCATGTGAAAGTGACCGTAACTTGCCGTCAGAAGGTAAATATACCGATAATCGATATTTGAATTTCAATATCGATTATCGTATCGCTAAATAACTTCTACCGATTATATCGATATTTTTGCACAGCCTTAGCCATAACTCTAGACTTTATAAACGGAAATTATCGAAATGAAATAGGATTCTTCATCTCACTAATGTAAACAACATATATCAATTTTATAACAATTGGATGATAACTTTTGGCATTAGAGTGTCACAACAAATTGTGGACGATGGACGGACGGGGGCGACGGCAATATACGTCCACATGTTATGTTCAGATATGTGTGATTATCAAAAGGAACCAAAATCTTTATGATAGAAACATATCTTTAAAGTTTCATCCAAATCGGATAAAAACTGTGACCTCTAGAGACGGTCCACAAATTGATATATCATATTTTTACATCAAAATCGGATATGTGCGTATATCTAAAGGACACAATTTGGTCAAATTGTGACCTCTGGGGGCCATAATCCACAAAGTTATGGTCCGATACATGCCAATATCGAAAGGACCCAAGATCTTTGGGAGATCTGTTCGTCAGTTTTTGTCCTATTTTCACGAAATTCAAACTCAACCATCATTACTTTATAACTGTGATATATTCACACTTTTTTTTTTTTAAATCAGATAAAAATTGTGACCTCTATAGAGACCACAAGCTCAAAATGCGCTTTTTCGTACAATCAAGGGCAATAATATGCGTGAATATCAAAAGGACCAAGATGCGTGAATATCAAAAGAAACCAAGATCTTTGGGTTATAAACAGGCATTTCAAGTTTCATCAAAATCTGACCAAAATTGTGATTTCTAGAGAGTCCACAACCTTGATATATCAGATGTTTACACTATTTGCATATGAGGGGCGACCATCAAACTCAACCATCATTAGTTTATAACTGTGATATATTCACACATTTTTTTTTTACATTGGATAAAACTGTGACCTCTATAGATGCCACAAGCTCAAAACGCGCTTTTTCGTACATTCAAGGGCAATAATTCAGGAAGTTACGATCTCATATGCATGAATATCAAAAGGAACCAAGATGCGTGAATATCAAAAGGAACCAAGATCTTTGGGTTATAAACAGGCATTTTAAGTTTTATCAAAATCGGAGCAAAATTGTGATTTCTAGAGGGTCCACAACCTTGATATACCAGATGTGTTTACATTATTTTGTCCGGCAGTTTTGGTCTGATTTTCACAAAATTCAAACTCAACCATCATTAGGGTGTAACGGTGATATACTAAAACGTTTTTTTTAAATCGAATAGAAATTGTGACCTCTAGAGCAGCGGGACGATTTACCAAATACTACCCAAATACCAGTTCAATATCACAACATACTACTCAATACTACTACAACATAATAACACAACCAGAGGTCGCAGTCACGCAAAAATCCGCGTATTTCATGCATTTTTTCAAAATAAAAGCAAATATTGACGAACGCTGCGTAATTTACACGCAGAAAATTTCCCTGACGTGAGAATAATTAGATTATTCTTGTCATAGTTTGTACAATTTATGCGCTTCACCCAGCATTTACACACCTCTACTGCACGTAGGCTCCGTAGTTTTTTATATTCCCTCTTATTTCATTCATAAGTTTGTGGCAGTAAGCCTACATAGCTATCCTATTGGAAGCAATAAAGCGCATTTCATACAAGACTTGGGATTGGCTAGAACACGATATACTGTTTACATTCAGCCAATCAAATGTTGGCTTTCATAGCGATAGTTTTCTCTTTACGTCCTGTCGAAGGGAAAGATTGAAATGACTGTGCCGTCAACCACAGACATGCTGTTAACCTCCAGTCGTCATTAGACTAAATACCGTAGGCCTATCAATGAAATAAGGATGCTTAAAATAGGGTTGTTCACAAAACAACTTTACATGCTTCTATATTGAGTATTTTGAGAGGCTCTAAGTCACGCAGATGTAGAGGGCAAAAAGGCAAAATTTTGGAATGTCTGCATATTTTTATGCAACTCAAAATTGATCCACTTCGAGTCTGCGACCTCTGACTACAACGCTATTTAGAACTGGTTTAT